AAAAAATTTTATATATATATATATATATATATATATATATATATATATATGGTCATACTATTCTAAAAAGTACACCAAAAAGTATCTATAACAGGGCTGGGGCTGGGGCTCAGTGGTAGGTAGTGCACTTGCATGTGTGAGGCACTGGGTTCGGTTTTCAGCACCATGTATAAGTAAATAAAGGTCTATCAATAACTAAAAAAATAATTTTAAAAAAAGTATCTATAACAATCAAGTAGTGTTTTACTCCCCACTGCACTGGGGATCAATAACCCAAGGCCTCACACATGCTAGGCAAACCCTTTACCACTGAGCTACACAATTCCCCAACCCAGTAGCATTTTTTATCTTAAAATGATTCACTCGGATAAGAAAATTTAATGACAGGACCATGAACTGGTAATGGAAATTATAGGTTTGAAAGAATACTGAGAAGTCATCAAGTTTAACCTCCGACCTCCATTAAGATTTATAACTGCTAGGGGAGGGGAATGGTACATGCCTGTAATCTCAGTGATTTGGGAGACTGAGGCAAGGAGGATCACAAGTTTGAGGCCAATCTGGGTAATTTAGCAAAACCCTCTCTCAAAAAAATGAAAAGGGCTGGGGATGTGGCTCAGTGGTAGAGCACCTCTATGCTCAAACCGTAGTATGGGGGTGGGGAGGGGTTAGAGCTAATAATTATTTACAAGAATTATTAGTCACTAATAATTTTAGTCCCCACAATTTATTAATCCCTAATAATAAACCAGACTTCATAATTCATCCCTTAATAGCATCTCTCAAACAATTAAATAACTAGTACACTGTTTCGCATTTATTGAGTCCATCCTCATCCCTGCTCTCAGAGAACCCTTTCCAGGAACCCCACATATAATAACCTACCTACTGGGAGGACTGAACCCAGGAACTCATGAGAACCAGGCAAGTGTTTTACCAATGAGCCACACTCCCAGCCCCGGGAGACTATATAGCTAGGCTGACTTCTAAGCACTAAACAAAGTATGCAATCAGAGTGGGCAAGAAAGGCTGGCCCTTCATCCAAGAAATCCTAGCCCTGCTTTACTCTGCTGGCAGTAAAAAAGTCTGCAAACAAACTAGTGACCAAGAAAAACAAAGCACACACAATTACATTTATGTCTATTGTGCTTATTTGAATTTATTGAAACCATCTGATCCTAATTGCAGTTTAAACAATATATCTTTTGGTCTGCTTCTTTCATTCAAGGATTTACATAAACTGGCAACACCCATTATATAATATAACTTACTTTTCTTGTCTCTAAGTTAGATCATCTAAATCCTTTAAACTTTTCATATCTGAATAATTCCCTCTAAGATACAATATTCAAATTCTCCAAAACCATTTAGTTGTAATGTTTTAAGTAAGATACACAGTCTTTTATCAATCTGAGTAGGGATAGACATGAGGAAGAACTAAGAATATATTTAAAACAAAGTTACTATATTAAATTTCAGAGCACAGGTTATAGGAACAAATAAACATAAAAATCATGGGGGAGGAGCTGGGGTTGTGGCCCAGCTGTAGAGCCCTCGCCTAGCAGTGCGAGGCGCTGGGTTCCATCCTCAGCACCACATAAATAAATAAATAAATAAAATTAAGGTATAAAAAAATTATAGGGTAAATAAACTAGGATGCCAGAATATCCACCTGTAGAATGAACTCAACGTATCTTAGGTAAACTGTTTATTTTCTGTCAAATTATCACATATCTGTTAGTAAACCCTAATTTATTTTTAGATGGACTAAAGGTGGCTTGTCACCTAATCCAGCCCACCCCCAACATACACAGTGCTAGGGATGGAAATCAGGGCCCCAAGCAAGCTACTCAAGCACTCTACCACTGAGATAGATTCCCAGCCCCCCAGATTTCTATTTCTGAC